GGAGCTCTGGTAGCATAGTGCCTAAGACATTTGACTACTAACCAGAAGGTTAGGGGTTCAAACTCACCAGCCACTCCACAGAAGGAAGACTAGGCATTCTACTTCTATAAAGATTTACTGCCTTGGAAACTCAAAGGGTGTTGCTATGAGTTGGAATTGACTTGATGGCAGTGAGTTTGGTTTGATTTATAATTTAGACAATCTTTGTATTATTACAAAGTTTCTTGTCAACATTTCTCTAAGTAGAAATAGTAACAAATTGAACTATTTTTTAGAAGGCAAGCCCCAGTGGTCCAAATGTTAAAGCACTCAGATACTATTTGAAAGGCTGGCAGTTGGAACCCAGGTAGAAGCTGCACAGGAGAAAGACCTGGCAATCTGCTTCAGTAAAGATTACTGAAGTCAGGAGAACCCTGAGGGACTGTTCTGCTTTCTCAGATGGGGTTGTTGTGAGTCAGAATTGACTACATGGTCCTAACAGCAACCAAACTAAAACCAAACCCATTGCTGTCAAGCAGCCTATAGGACAGGATAGAGCTGCTCCATAGGGTTTCCCAGGCTGTAATCTTTACAGAAGCAGATAGCCTCATCTTTCTCCCATGGATCAGATGGTGGGTTCCAAATGCTAGCCAGTTAGCAGTTGAACACTTAACCACAGTGCTACCCAGTCTCCTTCCTGATAGCAACAACATAACTTAGGTCAAGTCCTGCAACTCATCGAATTCTGGCACTTCATCAGTGAACTTGTTCATCTTTGATATTATCTCTAGGGGGTGCTTTGAGACAAACATCCTTTATTGTTTGTCTGCTCTACAGTATTTAAAGGCATATATATGAAAGATTAACAAAGCTGTGAAGGGAAATATAAGTGACAAAGTGGGTGAAATAATACCTTGATCTGTCTGAGGGGATGGGTGGAAGACACAGAGGTCAGGTCCCACCCCCAGTGCCTTGGTAGCAATGTTTTGAGCTAATTGCCTTTGGAGCTCACTTAGTTCTTTTGGATCACCAATTCTGCTCTCATTCTCCCCTAGAGCTTGTTGCTTTGAATTATTCCTCAGTGCCAAGTGCTTATTTCTCGGAGTTAATGAAGAAAGGTATAAGGGTCATGTAAGTAAGTGCTTGAAAATATGTATTTAAGGGTTGATTTTCCTCATCTCTAAACTGGTTTACTAAGTGCAAGTATTTCTACTGGCATCTTCACAAATCTTGTGAGTAAAGCCATCCCAGGTGGTGCCAAGTATTACCTTTAAAATCATCTACAACACTACTAGCTGTTTCTCTACCATTCCTACTTTGTTTGAAGTACTCTTCAGTTAAAAATCCCCTGGAAATAAATGTACTTCCTTAAAGCAATTTTAAACCTATACCTGAATGAAGGAGATAGGCTCTGATGTATTTTCAGGGTTAAGACAATGTTTCAGAGAAATTTCTATTTGCTATTATGGCAACATTTTAAACAACTGCATGTCATTTAAGAATCTTTCAGAGAACAATTACATACTATTTGTCTTCTATAATCTTAACAGGACTAATGAGAGGCTAGCAGATATCAGTACCAAACATATCGTGGACAAACAACAGAACAGATCTTTACTTAGCACTCTTACGACGACACCAGTCCTTAAGCCACCTTGTGTTGGAAATGTCTGTAATAGTATAGTGCTCAGTGGAAATCTTAATCCCAGAGAACATTTACCACTTCCTACCTCAAGGCCCTGGACTTCAAATAACAGCGTAGATACCTACTTGACCAAGGTTTTTTACATTATGTGTTTTCCCTTGGGTTTTAGGCCTCTGATATTTTTTCATTGGGTTTTAAACTTGGTGAATTACTGAGCTATTTAATTGACTTACACTTATGAAGTAAAGTTCTAATGGTCTGTGCAGGAAAGTGATGGAAATTTTGCAATGTTTTTTCAAGTTCCTAAATCCAAATCTCTGATTCCTCTGTATTGTCTGTTGAAGCAAGCTTTCTTCACATGTATAGTATTTAGTGTTTATTACCTCTCACAATTG